TGGAAAATCATCTGTTAGATGGATGTTTTGCAAAGTTGATAACAAGCGATTTTACTTAGTCTTAAATTTTCTGACAAAATTCAATGCAATTTTTTTTTTAATTTTAAAGTGATTATGACACATTTCCATTTTACTTTTTCCAATTTTGATCTGGGATGGTTGGTTGTGATTGGTCACAGAAGTGATATATTAGGTCTAGTTTCCTGGTTGCCTGAGCTCTGACCCTTCTGGGTTAGAAGAGTTATTCTGACTGATTTTCTTAGAGGAAATGGCTGCATTTTTGTGACCTCTAAATTAGTAAAAACAAACCTGTCAACTGAGCCACTCCCTGCTGGAGTTGGGAACCTGCTTTGCCTCCCCATTTCATGTGGTCCATACAGTGTTGTCAAGGGGCATTGGCCCTTCCTGATGATCCCCAAAACACACCAAAGGGAAAGCACTCCAACCACTAAAGTCCCTAGGAGAAAATACCAGGACTGGCAATTGTAGGGACAAAGGTCCTCAGGACCAGCTAGGTTCAGATAAGTATCCAAACTCCCAAGATTCCTCCTTCACTAGATTTATTTGATAGCTTGGCTATGCTGATGTAATTTTACAATATGCTTGTATATGTAGTCTGGCTTCAGTGAAGCTGATTCACCCTGCATCTTTACCTGTGATTTGGTTACATTAATGCTGGGATTTTCATGTTTATTGTATTCTCCTCGTAGTTATAGTATACTAGTCTTAGGAGTATTGGGTACACTATAGAATCCTGGTGGCACATAGGCTGGCTTCTCTGCTGCCATGCTATATCAATAATGCCAGCAACCATAACCATCACGCTTGCAGTGTCAATCTCACTTCTCATACTTTATCTGCCCAAACTTGTGGTGTAAAGTTATATGTCTTGTCCATGATATTTGCAAGACCTGGGCCTGGTATGTATTCCTGTGCTACTTCTGGAGGTGGAGCCAAAGTGCATGTGTCCCTCGCCACTTCTGTCACCATCTCACTAAATACGCATCTCTGCATGTGCCTCTGAGAGGAGACTTTCTGTGCATTACCTTGTCTTCTCCTGTCTTCTCTCCACCAATCTAAATTACCAAAGATGGTTGCCATGGTAATTTCTAATGATTTTTAGACTGGGGCAAAATTTCTAAATCAAGATGTTTTGAAGTGAATTTCTATAGGTGATTTGCAAAACATTTTGGGATCACTGACAATTCATATTAAAAATGAGATTTTGAGGACTTGAAAACCTTGTGAAACAAACTGGTGAAAAGTGTGTGCTATTTTGGGAAAGGAAAAAAAACTCCAATTTTAACTAGGCATAGTTTGTAGAAGCATGACAGAATGTGTGTTGCTTTTTGTTACAGTTCATTTTTATTCTTCTTCTGTAACACAGAGTTGAGTTGTGTTTAGCCACATGGAGCTAGCCTCTTCAAAAGAGAGAGCCTTGGGTGGTTGTATTATCAAATGGAAATATGTTGGCAGAAACCCACATTCTTAACAAGCCAAATATTTTGTACCCAAAGTATTGTCCTCTTCCAAAACACTTGTGCTTAGCATAATAAAATTACAGGTTCCAAACCCTTTTCATGGCAACTTTAATTTAATTTAGAGCTTGCATGCCTAATAGTTGGTATTTTTTAATATGCATTTCTGGAATTTGTGGTTTGAATTTCAGTTTTCTGAAAAATAATACATTTTATATATGAACCATGTGTTTGGATAGAGGCTTATTTTGACGGATGGAAATGATTTGTCAAATATTTTCTCCCTTTCTATATCCATGAAAGGTTACGTTAGGTAACCTTATAATAAGTTTCCAGATTTATACGTACATGTTTACAATGAGTTTCTTAGTCCCTTGATAAAGTTCTTAAGGAGGACATTCTGATGTGAATATCTAAATTTTAAATTCTTCAAATCTAACTCTTTGATCACCACCTTTGTTCTGTGTGGCAACTAAAATAACACTAGGAATTGGGGAGCAGCCATGTACAGTTTGTTCACAGCTAGCCTTTGGACTGACATCTTAAAGCTAATAGTTCTTATACTGCATAGGAGTACCCTAGCACAAGCGCTTTGGCCAACATTCATGTTTACCATCTTTGTGAACAGTTTGTTCTTCAGTGTTGTGGCAGTTGCCCATGCAGTTTGCTGTAAACTCCCTGTAATACTCCAGCACCTAAGCTATTTTATAATCCTATCTGGCCTACTTTTTACTGGACTGTTTAGACCTTACTTGAACTCCTGACAGTATTTGTAATAAGAATGGATTTGGTATTTTAATTTAGATAACAATATATTTTATGCAGCCATTGTTCAGCATTGGGAAATTAGGGAAAGCCTGTGTACAGGTTAAAAATGAGTTATATTGACTTAATGGTGGTTTGTGGATTTCATTGGAAAGGAGCTGCATGCAGTTCTTGAATTGGGGGTATGCAGGACTATGTGATAACCATACTTGTCCCTGCTGCCAGCAGAATAAAGATGAATGAGGGAAGGCTAGGAGAGCAAACAACATACATACACACAGTGTTCAGGCACTGGCTGTATGTAAATTATCTGCCCTAATTTTAAACTCCTGAAGAGCCAGCCCAAGAGCTCTGCACCTGGTAGCAGCACTTGATCGAGACCACTGCTTTATCAAAGGCGGTTTGCTTGGAGAGCTTGGAAACCTTCTGCTGGTTTCAAAGGGAAAAGCCACAGAGGGAACCTCCTCTTCCGAAGACTGCCAGTCAGCTCCAGAAGGGAAATCATGAACTGGACTGCTGGCCAAGAAACTGCCCAAGGACTAAATATAGGACAGGCACAATAAAGAACAGAGGAGGAGCTGTACTCCGGGGAGCTGGAGCCACCAGGATCAAAGAGAGATGCCGTGGGTGGTAAAAGGAAATGGAACCATGCTCCACCCAAACATAGATTGCTACTTTCATTTTATAGAATGATGCTGGCAAAAACAATAACGAAAAGAACAAATTAAGCTGTTCTCAGTCCTCAGAGCCAAACGTTTTGAGCCTCATGCATAGGAACGTGGTGTTATAACAAGAGGGATTGTGATGGTTCCACTGGCATCATGTCCAAAGGATCTGCTGAGTCTGACCCAGGACAATATCAGTGGAACTGTCCTATCAATACATAACTCTAGAAAACAGCAAAATAAGCAAGTTAATTGAGCCAGTAGAATTTGTTAAATGAAAACAATGAAAATGACGATGAATATTTGCATTGTTTTATTTATTGATTTTTTTAAATGAAAACAATATTTTATTTGGTCTTAAACATCCCATACAGAGGTTGCAACCCAAACATTGCAGCATTGTTCTACTGCAGGAGAGCGCCAACATGAAACTGTCTAGAGACTCATTTGAAATTAAAGTAGACCTGACTAATCTAGTTATGTTGGATGAATTGCAAAGAGTAGTTAGTCTACAAAGCACATTAGACGTTTGTAATTCAGATTTCACAAAACATAAAAGCTGTGTTATCTGGCACTTTATACTGGTTATTGGAAAAGGTTCAGAAAAGGGCAACAGAAATTATTAGAGGTACGGAATGGCTTCTGTAGGAGGAGAGATTAATAAAACTGAGACTTTTCAGCTTGGAAAAGAGACGACGAAGGGGGGATATGATCGAGGTCTATAAAATCATGACTGGTGTGGAGAAAGTAAATAAGGAAGTGTTATTTACTCCTCATAACACAAGAACTAGGGGTCACCAAATGAAATTAATAGGCAGCAGGTTTAAAACAAACAAAAGGAAGTATTTCTTCACACAACACACAGTCAGCCTCTGGAACTCTTTTCCAGAGGATGTTGTGAAGGCCAAGACTATAACAGAGTTCAAAAAAGAACTAGATAAATTCATGGACGATAGGTCCATCAATGGCTATTAGCCAGGATGGGCAGGGATGGTGTCCCTAGCCTCTGTTTGTGAGAAGCTGGGAATGAGTGACAGGAAATGAATCACTAGATGATTACCTGTTCATTCCCTCTGGGGCACCTGGCATTGGCCACTGTCGGAACACAGGATACTGGGCTAGATGGATCTTTGGTCTGACCCAGTATGGCCGTTCTTATGTTTGCCAACCAGAAAGCTCTATAAAACGGCATTTCTGATATCTCTGATTTCTGATCCAGGCAGTGCTCACCTCAGGCAGCTCCCCGCAAGTGGTGACATGTCCCTGCTGCTCCTAGGCGGAGGAAAGGCCACGGAGGCTCTGTGCGCTGCCCCCGCCCCACCCCGACCACTGGCTCTGCAGCTCCCATTGGCCTAGAACCGCAGCCAATGGGAGCTGTGGGGGCAGCGCCTGCGGACAGAGGCAGTGCGCAGAGCCGCCTGGCCGCGTCTCTGCCTAGGAGCAGCAAGGACATGTTGCCGCTTGTGGGGAGCTGCCCGAGGTGAGCGTCCCCCAGATCTGGCACCCCAAAACCCCTCCCATGTCCCTGCCCCGAGTCCCCTCCCACACCCAAACTCCCTCCTAGAGCCCACACCCCCCCCCGCCCCCCCCCCCCCCCCCCCTCGCCCCCCCCCCCCGCACCCAAACTCCCTCTCTCCATTGATAAGTATAACTCTTTAGTTAACTCGAATTTTTGACTAACCAGAACCCCCAGTCCCCCAATATGCTGGATAACAACGCTTTTCCTGTATATGGTAATATATGTAAACACATTTAATTCATTGAAAAGCATTGGCCTGATTCTCAGGTCTGCTGAGCACAACTCCCTTCGACCTCAGTGGGACCTGTGAATATGCCACACCTGAATATCATTCCAGTGATTTTTAACCTGCCAGCATCTCTTTAATTTTCTATCCAACTTCCATAGAAACCAGCATTTTAAAAAATAATTTCTGAGTTTCCTCTTAATCCTTCAATACTCTGTCTTGACCAGTCATAAATAGCCATTGCATTATATTATTGATCGTATGCCCCATGCGGCTTTGTAGTCAAGAGTACTTGTATTTCAGAATAAATTGAAGCAATGTAAATAATGCTTTCTATTGTTTTATAGGTGAGTCGTCCTCACCCCAGTGATCATCCTCTCCTGATCTTCTATATGGTTGGTGGAGTGACAGTCTCTGAGGTCAGAATGGTGAGGGACCTAATATCCGCGCACAAACCCGGTATCCAGGTACGAAACCTTAAGTACTGTGATTTCTGTCTGAGCCAGGACAAATTAAGAGTAACAAAGAAAATGCTTTTTATAGTGCTGAATACTGCCCTGGTATTGAACATATACCATAGCATATAAATAAGGCTAATAATGGTGTCAGGTCTCTGTTGTGAAACATCTGCAGGCAAGCAGCTTTCAGATGCAAGTTATTTAAAGTTTGTTGTGTGCAGTAGATTCAGTGAGGCCCAGATCATTCCATAGGACCTCAGAATTTGCACATGCAGTTTTCTGTGAGTGAGTATTTGCTTGGGAATCTGCATACGTAAATTGAACTGCAAGCAGCGATGCCATTAAGCGGAACAGTAATGACTGTCCAAAATGTTCAGTTCTCCTCAGACAGAAAGGAAATGGCTCAGATTAGGGGCCTCTGAGGTGGAAAGGGGATGGTGTTAGAGGCTTACGTGTCAATGTCACAGGGTGATGCTGGTCCTTGAAAAGGGAAAAGGCCAGTGCACCTGTGACTGCTCAGCTGCCTCCTAACTGGGCTTAAAAGAGGGCACCTGGGCCCTATGGGAGAGAGACTTAGTGAGGCAGAGCTGTCTGAGACAGGCAGAGAAGAGCAGATGAGAGCTGCCTGAGGAGGAAAGGATTGTTCCTGGTAGCGGCGGCAGCAGCAGCAAGCTGTTACAGAGAGCCATGAGGTAGAGCAAAAGGTTGTTGGTGAGGACTGGCCAAAGCTGGGGAACCCCTGATGAGTTAGAGGAGAACTTGTGCTAAAGCCCCTAGGAAGAAGGGAAGGTTAGGGGAAAGTAAGCCCAAAAGGAGAGCGTTGATCCTGGAGTGTGGATCCCAGGAGCAGGGGCAGGACTAGGGTGCCCAGACAGCAAGTATGAAAAATCGGGACAGAGTGTGGGGGGTAATAGGCACCTATATAAGAAACCCCCCCGAATATCAGGCCTGTCGCTATAAAATCAGGACATCTGGTCACCCTAGGCAGGACTCATAGGCAGAGTCTGGCTGAATGGAACACTGTGGGAAGTCCTCTAGCAGTGAGCCAGGGAGGCTGCAGGAAGCTGATCCCAGAACAAGGGGTTGATCCTGGAGGGACATGCCCTGAGCAGAGGTAGGACTGTCAGGCAGGGACGCCTGGCTGAATGGAACACTGAGCAGAATTCTGTCGTGGGAGACCTGACTTAGGGCTACAGGAGAAAACTCGTGGTAGAGAAGCGGGTCTGGGAACTATCGGGTAGAAGACCTGGAGAATGGGGCGCCCTGTAATGGGCTAAACGGACTGGGGCAGAGTGGTTACTGACTCTCTGGTGGGTGACCTGGGAGCGGTGACCCAGGGAATAAAGGGGTTTGAGTTTGTTGCTGAGAGAGACAACATGCCTTAATCTGGGTGCATTCTCATGGAAAACTGAGGCAGACACACTTGTCATGCCATGACCTGCCGCGGGAGGGTGCCCCAAGCAGGGCCACCTTCTCACAGTCAGGTCTGAGTTACTGTGACTCCCTACAGCAACAGGGTTGAATTCTTGCAGGGCTGTCTTAGCCTTTCATCCGTCTGTACTGGATAAATTATTTATTTTCTGTTACTGAGTGAGAGTCAGGATGAGACCTTAAAAATCAAGATCCTAGCTGCTTGTATGGACCTCAGATCCCTGGACGTTTTCTGTAAGAGTTTGCTCCAACCCCGGTTAAAATGTCCCCCCTCCCACCTGCAGTTCAGTGTGCTATGCTCAAGTTGACAACCTGGCTGCCATCCTATCCCTCAGAGTAAAAGACGCCCACCTCAAAGAGTTTACAGCTGAATAAACAAGACAGACAAAGTCTATAAACAACCACACAGGCAACCTGTCAAATAGTACTTACATTCCCTCCAGGTTTGTCTCTCCAAACCCCCAACCTCCTCCCCTGTCCCATCCCCTCTCTTCTGTCCACATGCCCCTGGCACTAAGGTGCCATTCATTGACCCTGCCCAACCTCCAAAATCACTTTGGGCTCAGTCAGTTAAGGGGAAGGGAATATTATTGGCAAGCATCTGAAGTTCTGCTGCTCCTGGGCACACCGTCTGCCTCTGAGGGCGGGGGTAGCTCTGTGTGGTGGGGTTTCTTGGGAGCGGGGACAAAAAGTCCATCTGACTGGTCCCTGCCCCGTTCATTCTCTGGCAGCAGCTCCTGGCTGCATTCACTGTCATTCCAGTGGAGTGGGGAGGGCAGGGGTTACTTCTGGCAGGGTCTAAGATATTGATAATTGTTAATTTGGAGGAAGGTGTATGGGAGCAGCTGGATTTCTCCTGGGTGGAGCAGGCACAGAAGGTGATCTTTATAGCTGCAAGAGAGATGCAAAGAAACACTTCATAACCAGCTGCCTGTGTCATTAAACATGTCTTGTTCCAAAGGCTGAATGTAAACTCTCTTGTTTTAATTCCTGCGAATACAGCTCTAACTAATGAAAAGTCTGTAGCAAAATGGAGCCAACCAAGGCAGAGCAGCCTCTGATTGATAGCATGTTTTCCGCACTTTAACAGCATCTTTGAGTTGAGAACTCAATATTTTTATAAGATAAAATGCCCTTTCCAAGAGCACTTTTTCATCTGATAACATGTTTCTCTCCAATTAGCTTCTCACTTATCTCCTTAACACAGTGAGTCAAATTCTTTGCTATCCAGAACAGGGACTGAATTGTGATGTACTGATGGACAAGTTAATCCAGACTCTAAATGTTTTAATATAGCTTGAAAGATAAGCACGGAGTTAATGAGAGAGATGGTGTAAAACTATGCAGGAATTCTTTTGGCTAACTTTCTAAAAGGGATTGAGGTTTGACAGTGGTGACATGGAATCTGGTGCTGCTTTGCTTTGGTTGACCCTGGTGGCAGGTCACCCTTTGAGGCAGAGTCCCAAAGAATTTAGAGTTGACGCAGCTTTTACTGCCCCTTGCCTTTGTATGAAATTGTTACATTAGGGGCTAAAGGGCTTTAGGGGAGAGTCCTGAGGGGAGTAAATGGAAGAAAAGAATTGGTTGTTCGAGTCTCGCATATAAAAGTGTCTGAGTTAGTTGGATTTACCTGGATTTCTAGAGTTCAGCTGTGAATATGCGCCACCTGCTTGGGATTATTCTCTTTTCAAAGAGCCAGGCATTCATCTACCACAAGCCAGTGTTTAACAGAGCTGTTTTTGTGATGTTCAGGCGATTAGTTTCAGACATCAGGGCAAGAGGAAAACATTGGCCTCCCTGTTCCGTTGCACTTAAACAAAACACTGACATTTGCACTAATTATTGGCACTTCTTTTAAACTGGAGTTGCACTGTGGATGTGAAAGTAAAGAAATTTATAAAACAACAACAGACAACCTGTCAGTAGATCGGTTTCCCCACCAATTGCCTCAGCAGTTGTTTGGAGTTTAGGCAAATGAGAATTAAGTCTGGAGATTGGAAACATATGTTTTTATCCACATAAGCAAATATATATTTTAGTGTGGATAGGGGACATTTGGTTCATCTCTTCTCATTGTGAGACACAAAAGAGAACAGTGTGTTTCAGGCATCATTTGTTTTCAGATGAAGCTGAATAGCTCTGCCTACTGCTTCTTCGCAGATACCACCTCATAGGTGTAATGAATTGGTACCCCTAGAGGCATCTAACTTGGGAAGAGGCAGAAACAACTGAACTAACAAGAGAGGAGAATGACTTTTAAAAAAAATAAGAAACTAAAGAGGAGGAAAGAGGAAAAAGTGGACGTTTTAATCCCTTCCCTGTGTCACATCACTAACTACCCACCAATGTTTGAACACGTACCAATATTGGTTCGTGTTCACATGCACACAGACTCCAGAGATCTGCTCTACAGCAGAGCATGGTGACATGTGACAATCCATGTGTCCTGCACCTTTTTTACTGTATTCCCACTGTATGCCGATGCAACAATGACACAGATGAGAACAGAAATATAAAGACATGCCCAGTTTATACAGATTCAGTTCCAATGATTTACTTCTGCTGGCCCAGATTATTTCTGTGAGGTCTCAAACATGCCTTACATTAAATGCTATAGAAGAGCATGGTTATTTATGAAGTGCAATTATCACCCCTGGCAACCATGATTATCATTTGTGTGTGACTGGTTTGTGTTCTTTAGCTGCTCTGAAATATTGGGTGAAATCCTGGCCCCACTGAAGTCAAAGGAAGTTTTGCCCACGGGATTACACCCAGTGTTGTACTGCATTGTCATTAGTATTGCTGTTTGCATCATATTGTCTGAGCCGTGTAGTCTGAAACTTCACAGCATGTGCATTCAGCCTCCTGTGCCTCCTTGCGAGCCAGATATCTGGTGATATCCAAGATTACCAGCTACCATCTCATGGGATGTTTGCATTGTGGGATGATTAATTTCCCAAATTAGTTTCTGTTTCACAATTCCTTCATTTTTTACACAAACCTTCTCCTCCTCACCTTCTCTTTGTTTACCCTGGTGCTACTCATTACAGTGTAGTGGATCATGGAGTGACCCTCTGGCCACTTTATGGTGGCTGTCATGACAAAATGTAGCCCTCAATTAAAGTGTCACAGACAAGGACACAAATGTTAAGATGGGTGAGGATCTGCAAAGGAAATTTATCCTCCTAAAGAGACTTGCTTGGACATTTATGGGCAATTGTACAAAAGATTGGATCATCTGCTTTCCATAGAAACAGAGGGCCATATGCTCTCCTCCATCCACATCTGAAACCACTATTGATATCCATGTGCATGGATGGGAGACAGCAAGACTGTGTCTTAACATCAGAATAAGTTACAATCATCACTCATTTGTTTGTGTGGACTCATTTTATCAATTGCACATCTACCCTGCTAGTTTAGTGATAATACTATGAAGATGAAATTTCCTTTTATCTGTGAGTGGTGGTGGTTTGGCCTGTAGATTCATAGACAAAAAACATTAGTAATATGGCACCTCATATTTCTTAGAATTAAGCTGAGTACATAGGAAGAGGAGTGCACAGACTGTACTGTACTCTGATTCCTCCACAACATAAATAGGAAAGTGCAGTCTTTGTCACCAGCAAATTACAGAGATGGTCTTAAGCAATGGGAAATAGAAGAGATAATCTGTGTCATTTTGCTGTAGTTTGTGTTAGCACAAAAGAAAGTGTAGTAATTTAACTCCAGATTCTTTTCATTATTTAAAGAGAGGATGAAAGAAAAGAAAAGAATGTGGAACAGGGGAGGCTTAAGTGTAGTACTACTGAGATCTGGGGTATTTGGTATTTAACATCTTTTTTTTTTAAATCACCTGCAATGTTTGAATATTCAGATAAAAACATATTCATGCGTGTTGATTTTTACCTCAGATGAAGAGTGTGCACAATTTGATCAATTACTAAAAGAAAATAGGTACATGCACAATCAATGTTGTTGGCATTTAAATTACAGTTGCCATAATTTATGCCTCCTCATTTTGGATTTTTCTAAATTAGATACCCTTAATCTTACATTGAGAAAGCAAATTCATTTTTAAGTCTGGTACAACGCTCCTCCAGTTTGTCCTGTGGGCCTGATCTTACAAACACTGCTGTGAGTAGTGCTTGTTATACTCAGTAGTTGGCTCTAATGGTAGGAAAGCTCGACACTCCATTAGATCTGCAGGACTGAGAATTTAGTAGCTAATAAAATCTAGTTAGGGACCCAGGGGAGAAAAAACATATATAAATATATATTGTGTACAAAAATCCATCTATGATGGCCTGCTGCTTAAAGGATGAAAACAACAATTCTGCTCTGTGAAAAATATTAGTTTTTGAAGTGTTCCAATGCTGGATGTTGGCATTGATCTGTGTAAAGAATTAAATATTCATTGAGCCAGAGAGAGAGAGGCTGACTCTAAAGCTTGGTGGTTCGGGTGTTTGTCTGAGATTTGGGAGGACTCAGGTTGAAGTCCCTGCTCTGAATCAGGCAGAAAACAGGCTTCAATCTGGGTTGCCCACACCTCTGTCCCTGACTAGCAATTCCCTCCTTGACCTGAGAAACCTTCCCAATGAATATTGTGTCAGAACCAAGACGTTTCTGCAGAACACTTTTGGTTTTGACAAAACAGTATTTTTCAATGGAAAAAAGATTTGATCAAAACCAGGGCTTTGGAGCGGAGCCCGGAGCTGGAGCACGGAGCAGCTCCGGAGCAGTGGAGCTGCAGGTTTTTGCCTGGAGCTGGAGCGGAGCCGGAGCACAGCTCCAAAGCCCTGTTTTGACCAGCTTTAGTAATGGGTGATGCTGCCTTTCACTAGGGACATATTTTCTCCTTATGAAAAGAGTAACAAAGATAATCCAAACTGTGTCCGTGCTTGAACCGTGATCCTGCTGGCTGGAACACCAGGCTCCTGGTCTCAAGTGGCAAGTTTCTGACAGTTGACTGTATTTCATTGACTAGCCACAGCAGGCAGACAATGCTTTCTGTAATTTTCACCTCAGCGTAAACAAAGAAGAAACAGCTGCAATTTTGAGTCACTTGTTGACAAAATTCAGTGCTGTGGCAAGGGAAACTGCTGGTTGAGCAACTCATTTTTCACAAGTAACACAGTGGGAGTCATAACAAATCACTGTGCTACCCTAGTAGTGGAACTGTGTGGGGTGAACGAGTCACACTACAAATGCATTAGGAGTGGGATAGTAATCACTGTTCTCCCACTGGTGGGTTCAGCTATAATTATTAGCTGAGCAGGTGGTAGCATTGGACAAGCTGTATTGCAACCTCACAGTGAGCATAAGACATCAATGATTCCTCTGCTGTTCTGTAAATGAACAGTACACGTTTAGAGACCTTGTTCTGATTGCAGACAAGATTAGTCTCCTGAATTGCATTTTTTTATTTCTGTCTTCAGGTAATTGTGCTCTCCTCAATGCTCCTGACACCACTTAACATTCCTGAGTTGTTGTTTGCAACAGACCATCTACAACCAGACATAGGCATCTGAAGAGTGCAGATCTGCGGAGAAGATAAGTGATTTGCCTTCACTGGAAATACCACCCTCTTGCCTGTCATCCTTTCCGATATTCTTCCAAAAATGAATTTGTCTAAAAACTAATTGTGGTTGTAATTGAAAACTGAGTCGAGTGATTTGATAGCTGGCTGCAAGGGGACTTGCATGGATTGTGGGAGCACTTAAAAATCATTCATTTGTTCAGTGACATCAGGCTGACACTCGGCTCCTCCCTGCTGAATGATATTGCTAACATGGGCCCTCCCCACCGCATTGCCCAGAGAAGATGGCTGCCTGTAGTAATTCCCCAGAAAGGGGGTAATTCTGGAACAGCTGCAAAGGGCTAGATTCTGCCACCTTACCTTTATGGAGTAGTACTTTCCACTGGAAGTAGTCCCAAAATGGGATTCCTTGTAGTGTAAAGTGGGAGTAAAGGTAGCAAAACCTAGCCCTGGCTTGTTTTGTTCCCCTGCAAAACACATGTGCCTTAGTTACGTGTTTAACTCCTTCTGCGCAGTCTGTGGCCTTAACCCCAGCAGGAGGCTATGAAGCACAGCAGTGAACTGAGTTGTCAGTAGTAGAATAGCAACAAGTCCACTGATGGCTATACTGCTGATAGGGTAGAGGTGTAGGGAAACATGGATGGAGAATCCCACCATAATCAAACTGGTGAGCCATGTACTGGCTTTCTCACAGGTCCCTGGTTTCCTCTCTTGTTTGCCTCAGTCATAGTCTCATGAGAAAAGTCACTTTCTTTGATGACATTCTCCTCTGCATGATTTTGCACAGGAAAACGTGGGCTGAGATGATTAGATGTTTCACTTTATTAATCCTAGAGGAATGCTTCTTTCAGGCACATCAAATAAATAACATATTCCCATTTGCAAAAACATTAGGGTTCCAAAAGTAGAACACTCGTTTAAAGTTGTATTTCTGAATAACAAGGGTAGGAAGAGCTTTTGATTTTAATTTATGATTAGGCAACAGCTTTTAACAAGACAAGCTGTCTGAGTTATGTAACTTTTCTTTTTTTAATTTTGCTTTAATCTTTGGAGGAGAAAAACATAAGTGGTTGAGGATTCCAACTGTATTCAGCACTGAGGTTAATAAAAATGCAGCATAAAATAATGGTGCCACAAAGATGCAGCGTATTGTCTCAGTTTGTTCATCCCAGGGATGCTAAGACTACATTCTATGCTGGGAGATCATTTACTGTTACATTTTAGGGGCACATTTTTAGGCCGTCTATCTATATACAGCGTAGTTCCCCTATTTTAGCATTCTTTATTATGCCCAGAGACTAGGTTAAATAGAAACTAGTTCTTTAACCTTTGCTCACTAGCTAGTTTAAGTTCTGTTAAATGTAACCTTTTTTCTGAAAACTCTTTATTTTGTTTTAATGGTGCACTTCGGTGGCCAGAAGGGAACAAAAGCCTGATTATAAAGGTTAGACTGAAGCATGGACAAAGTTGCCTTTATGAAAACAGATTTAGACGATGAATATAGAACGTTACGTTCCACTGTACTTGATGGGAAAGTAACATCAAACCACATGTAATGCTAAAACCTTATGAAGTCTTTTTGACTGAGCAAGTTAGAAAAATGACAGCAAACAGCCTATCTCTGTGGTTACATCATTTCTTCTTCGTCTGCACTGTTTACATTATCAGAATATAGATGTTTTGGAAATTACTTAACAATAAAGCAAAGATTACAGAATCTGCTCATCTTCCTGGTTTTTTCATACACACCAACCCTTCATTTATTAGATACATTCTGTTGCTCTTCCCCCACCCCACCCCATACACACACACATGCAGCATAACCAGAAAGGGGAACTTGGTTATGTGTCCATTCTGCTGTGTGGCCGTCAATTCCTCCACATTGTATGGCCCTTCCCCTGTCTTTCAGCCGCCCCAAGGGATTCTAGACAGGAGCTCCTGGCACAGGGAAGTGGTCACCAGTCCTAAGAAGCTGTTGCAGCCGTGACAGTTTCTGTCTCCTTCCTTTCCCCACCCCCCTTAGCTGAACACTCTGACTCCTGATTTGGTAATCTGAGGACATGCTGCATGAGTTATTGGGCAGGGCAAACCAGTGAGGGTTGGGGCCTAAATAGACTTTGGTGTTGGAGGTTCCCACAGCTCTTGTGGTTCCACAGATCCCTGTATAGGGGGGATGCCTAATCTTCTATGCCCACCTTGGGGGAACTTTCATAGCCAGTTTGCCATGGTGGAATGCAACAGCAGGCTAGAGCATTGTACTTCAGCAACAGAGAGAGCAGTCAGAGGCTGAAAGGAGACAAAGATGATTGGCTGCTGTTCAAGGACAACAAGGCAGACCTTGGGCCTTTGGGGATGTGTTTTGGAAAGGAGGGTGGGGGCTGTGTCCCCTAGTTTGGGGGAGGAGGGTGGGGCAGGGTGAGTGTGGTTTTTGGTTGTATTACCAACAGAAGTTTTGAGGGAGGGTGACATAGAGAGCTAAGGCAGGGAACTGGCCCCTACGTGGGGGTCAGCATGGGCACTGCATGCTGTGAACTGGCAGGAGGATGCTTGCTGTCCCAAAGTGAGATCATGGCTAGCACCCAAATTTTCTGTAGAGGCCAAGGAGATATCCAGGTGTCTGTTGCTTATCCCTTGGTGGACTCCTTCTCGTCTTCCTCCAGCCACACATACACAACAGGATTCAAGGGCCTTCGAGTTCCCTCCAGTCATCTACAAGCAGGAACAGCTCAGCAGATGCCACTGCTTCATCAGGCAAACCTCATCTACACAGTACGGGACACGGCCATTCTCCGCTGCGGTAGAGGATTGAATTTTGCGTTTGGAGGTGTAGGATGCTGGCCAAAGAAGTGGGGAGGTCAAAGGATATTATACCAGATTTTGGAAGGCTTCCCTATCTTAGTAGTTGTGGTGAAATGGGTGGAGGGGAGAGGGTCTTTAAAAATAAGAAAGCAGTGGTCTGGTTAGACAACTGGTTCGTAATGTATCATGTTCTCCTGCAGTGCTCATCCTTTTCCAACCCCCACCCCCCTTTTGCCATACCAGCACAATGCCAGGAACCTGCTCCAGGGGAAAGGTGGGATGCTTGCAACTGTCTGTCACCTGCCCTGGTTTTGGCTTGTATGTGGCACTTTGGCCAGTCTGATGTGGACATTAGACACTTGGGTGACAATGAGTTAGTTGACACATCTGCATTAAAGCTCAAATGAGACTGTAACGTAATCTAGTCTATGATCCTTCTGGTCAGGCTGGTATAATTGCACATTACTGCAGCAGGTGTGGTGGTGAAGCAACTGCCCTATTGCAAGTGATGAATATTCTAGCTAAGCTTGGCATTAGGTGGGGATGCCCTAGATCAGGAGCGGAGTTGGGAGCCTGACTCCCAGGGGTTGGCTTTTGACTTTGCCTGCAGCCAATCTTCCAACCAGAAGGAAACACTTTGTCCAGGTGACCACCAAGCAATGACTAGTAGCATCTTGGGGCAGGCTAGTCTTGCAGGTGACATTTTTGTAAGCAATTGGAAATTAATTTGGGGTAAATGGTTACTGTCTCCTACTTGGGTGATAGAGAAGAAGAGAATTTTGATGTTTCAGGACAATGAAACCCAGTGCTAGAAGCTCTTAGGGGTTGGCCTAGGAAAACTAGTCCTTTTTAAGAAGGCAGAATGGTTGTTGGCTTATTGTCTAAGCCAGCTGGCTGGGTCTGCGGGGTGGTCTGTGGTTAGATAAGTCATAGCCACCTCTTTTCTCAAGAATGAGTCTGTGTTTCCCCATGATTATTATTATTGTGTGATAAAGTTGGGGCCTAGGTGCCATTTGTTCCAATCAGTATGTCTCAGCTGTCTAGTTCTCTCTGTGAATGGAATGAAGTCAGAGGTTTGTGCCAATTTACTTTACCCACTAATCAACCTCACTTTCATTCTTCAAGGCATCGTATTTATCGCTAAGCAAAATTGTAGTGTAGGTTGTGCTAATACTGCCAGTTTCTAACAGAAGAGTTGAAAGTGGGAGAGGCTGGTGTTTAGCTCACGAATAAGTTCATATCTAAGTAACATCAAGCCTCACCCTCACAGCCCCATTATTAGGATTTTTATGCCAGAAGACGGAGGGATGGATCCTGAACCCTAGTCTGAAAGGCCTTGTTTTCTGCATAATTGCATCAAAGGACAATATATGGTACATAAAAGGTTCTGAGTACTTTCCACGATACCTAAAGTGCTTGTGCCTGTAAGACTTGAATACATAAAACTATGCAAAGGAGGAGGATTTAATTCATATTTCTACCTATTGATTTTTAAAGAGTGGTTAGTATATACCATACAGGAAATTGTGAGAAAATTAGATACTTGTAAAGCAATGCTTTGACCCCAAGGTTCACAGGTTGTTTCCAGTTCTGTTTAAAACAAAACACACTACAGGAGAAAATGTGTAGTTCAAAAAAATTTAATGCTGAAACAGACTGCAGGAGTGAAAAGTCTGTTCCACATAAGGAGTTATTGTACACAAAATAAATAAGTTACAGTTTAAGCAAAAGCACAAGTGGCTTTTTAAAGTGCATTTGTATAAGGCCTTTAGCCTATATTCTCAAACTCCATTGGCTCAATGTAAAAATGCATACGGCTGCTAGGTGTGGTTAAAGATGAATATTCCACTAAACTCAGAGAGAAAGGGCTCAGATAAGAAAAATCCAACCAGCTTCACTGCCTAGAGCCAGCAGTGTATATCATACAATACTGAATTGACAAAGTGAGTTCCTTCCATGCTAACTACACACAATGGGGCTGGGGGGAAATGGAAAAGATTTTGCACTGAGCAGTTACCAGGGATCATCATTCCAACTCGGGACTTGCATCTGAAAAGTAGCAGTAGTGTAACATTTTAAAATTAATCTCGACAATATTTTTCAGACAGTAAAAAAAAAAAAAGTTATTTGTAATGATAAAATACACTCAGACCCTGTGCACAATATTTTTGTGTACAAAAATTCTGGTCAAACCCTCAGTAATAATGTAGCGAGTAAAAATAGTGTAGCATTGTTTTTACAATCATGAAACCCGGCCACAGCCACTCATTTTACACTGACTTTTCAAAATAAGCTCATTTGTGCTTTAGAATACATGGGTAAAATCAAGCTCTACTGAGCAATAAAAATACATACATGCTGTCCTTCATCCAATACCAAAAACAAGCATACAACTGTAAGACTCAAATGGTTATTTCCAATAAGTAAGCTGCAGTTCGGGGCATCTTTTTGGTCACCAAACTTCGTAAATGATGTGGTTGTACATCAAGCCAACTGTGTCCCATCCTAGGAAAGCAAGACTGAAGTTTTGTGGGGTTTTTTTTTTTTTTTTCAATTACTAAAAGTTTGGTTTTAAAATGAAGATGTTCTACCATTCACTTGTTAGAATCACTTAAGGAGTTTATTCAAGCCTCATGCTTGTTTCTCCTTTAAGCAATGGTTTATTTCTACAGCAGTTCAAAAGAACCTCTGAACCATCCTTCTGTCACATGGCCTTGGACTCCATAGTGCCAGTGTTTAACATTCCAAAGTTGGAACTTTATGACAACAGGTTGAGAAGATAAAACCCCCACTTAGTTTTGCTTTCAGACAGAAGTGACAGTCCTAACTTTAGCAGACAAAGCTTGCTTAAACCTTCTCTTCAGATCCTGCATGTTTGGCGACTTTGGCCTTGGGATAAGAGAGGTTCTTCTCTTCTCAGGGGTGCTAGTTATTTGTTGTTTACTAACTTCTTTACACAGGACATGGAAGGCATTGAAGACATCATTGTAGTTCTCACTGACAGACACTTCATAAAAAGTACAACCTAGCATGTTCGCCAGTTGAAGTCCATTCTGTGGCTCCACCTCTTTAATATGTAGGAGATCAGCTTTGTTTGCTACAACGACAACAGGGACTCTGTTTCCTGGGTGTAACTGTCGAACTTGCTGGTGAAGGTGACTAAGTAGTTCATAGCTCTTATAATCTGTGATGGAGAAAACAATCACAACAGCATCCGCCCATCGAATGCATCTGTTCAACTGTTCATTACAGTCCAGATTGTGTTCATGGATCTGAGAAAGAAGAATTGTTTTAAATTAGATGGTTATGACAGAAAAAAATTAAAGTAACCTGACTTTCATTTAAAGCCTGTAATTCTAAATGCATTTTATATTTTGATAGATTTGTATTTTGTATTGTAAATTAAGCTTTTTTTTTTTTTTGTGCACCTTCATAAAGTATGTTGATCCAGCTGCAGAAATCTGGAATAAATAACACTGGAGTTTGCCACACTCCAGTGGAAAATTGACCTGAGTAGTTCTGCATGCAGAGAAAAGCTTTGTAGTTCCACAGAATGGGAAATTAACTGGCTAGACAGTAAGTCTAGGGAAGCAAAGATATGAGCTGGAAGCATTTAAACCTGGAGAGTTGCCCAGTGCAAAAGGGCAAAATCCAGCATTACTCTTGTCTACACACTCAAACTTTCCATAATACAAGATTAAGTCATAACAAATCTTAATGAATGCAGCCACAATACTATGGTTTTTAGTTTCTATTGTGCACGTTTGTGAAACTTTAGAGTTTATCAGGCTGTAGTAATGACATTTTTCCTTCCAAGTTTTTTCCAATGCATTTCTTGTTGGCACAAAAATAAAATGTTTCTAACACATTAGAATGTAAATCTGTATTGGATAAATCAGCCTTCCCGTAC